CGCAGCATGATCAAAAAGACGCGTTTCAGGGGAGCGGGCTGGTCGAAGAGTCGAGAAGCCATCGACGGCGCCGTGGCTGTTTCTGCGGTTGGCTTTGACGCAGTCAGACCTGGGGCTGCGATGACGACGGGCCCGTCCCTCACCGCCACCAAGGCAGATGGGGCGGGGCAGGCCGGTACGGCAATTGTGGGAGCGGAAAGGAGGCGAGGCGGGCGACAAGCGTCAACAGTCAATCGGCCTACCGTGCGTTCTCCGCGCAATCTCGACGAGCTTGGCCGGACAGAGTGGTGTGCTGCCCTGGCCAGCCCGGCCCTGGGCTCAACCACCTCTTGCACCTGCAGGACACGCACGCACCCGCCAGGCCTGGCAGACACCACCATGACCACCTCCCCAAGGTCCCGTCACGGATGCCCTCGCCCTCGGCAACACCCCTGCAGTGGCAGCGGACCTACCAGAAGCCCGGCTGCAGCTCAGTCCAAGGGAATCAGGGCAGCTAACGATTAGCGGGGAGCACAAGGAGACAAGGGACAGGGGACGAGGGAACGAGGGGACAGGGGGGTGGCGGGGCGTGACGCAGGCGTGGGAGAAGGCCGCACCAAAGCACCCAAGGCAGACGGGCCCCAGCAGGAAGCACACAGCTCGTGCATGCTGCGGCCGCCTCTGCAACCAACCCGCCGCCGTCGGGAGCGCGCGCCGCCTCGGGACCCCAGACGAGCCTTCTGAATCGTTTATTTATTAGCGGGAAGGGCCCGCTCCTTGCGGTGCGCCGCTGGGAGCAAAGTCAGACGCCATCGACGAGACACTTGACGGGCGACTGGTCACGACGCTTTTGCGGCGAGTCTCTGTCCCCCCCCATCTGCGAGCTTGTCTGTCCGAGCACGACGGCCCCTTGGATCCGAGACGGCGGCACCAGAGGTGAGTGACGGCTTCGCGTTCCTTTTGCCAGGCGTGCCGGGCAGAGGACGAGTGTCTCGATGCCGGCCGTCGTCACGAAGCCAGCCAGTTTTGGGCGGTTTCCCCACGTTTGGTGAGCTGGTGGTCCGCTTCCTGCTGTTGTGCGTGCAGCTCTCAAGTATGCAATACACCAGCGCGGTGTCGTCTCCCCTCGGGAGTGCAATGTCGGGGCTCGCCAGTGGCTGAGAGAAGGCGCCGGCGCTCGTCAACTCGAGCTGCTGCAAGGCACGCGGCTGGGACAGCTTTCCATGTGCTCCCGCTGGGCACAGGCACGAAGGATGGCATTCGTGTGCTCACGCACTGTTTTTTGTACCCGCTGGGAGCGACAACCACGAGCGCACCCTCGTTTCCCCTCTTTCCCTGCCGATTCCGGGCACGTCCCCATCTTCTCTCCGTGCACGCCCCCTCCAGCATCTGCCATTCCACACGGGGTCGCTCTCGCGCGGCGAAGAAGCCGGCGAGGTGAGCAGTGCAGCGCGAGAATGCGCACACCCTCCCGCCGTCACTCTGCCTCTGGCTGTCGACAGGCGGCAAGGGATCAGAATGCAGCACAGGGCAAGCCTGGAGGTGCAGCCGTGAAGGCGAGCGTCGTCGTCGGCCCAGTTCCCCGGAGACGGCCAGGCAAGGCACGGCACGACTGGGTGCCCGCACGCTGGCAGCAGTTGTGCTGTTGCAGAGTCCCCCCTCACCTCGCCTCCCCCGTTGCTCTCCTCCACGTCACATCATGCTTACCAGGGCTCGAGTGTGCGAAGCGCTCCTCGAGTGGTCAGAAAGCCTGCACCCGTCCTGCCGGGACGCGCCAGAGGCTAGCGTGCAGCAGCGCTCAGCCATGAATCAGACAGACCCCTCACAGGCTCCGGCTCACACCCACCCGTGAGGGACAAACGCTGCTGTTGCTGAGTGTGAAGCCATGCCACGCCTTGCCATGCCATGCCCTGCCCATGCCCATGCCTCGTCCGTCTCCGCGAGCCGCACGGGGACATTTCGTTGCTTGTTGCTTCGTTGCCGGCGGGATTGCTCCCGCTCCGTGTCGTGCATCGCGGTTGCTAAAGATATACCTGTTATGTACCGCGCCGCAATATTGCCTCCCCTTCCCCTTCTCGTCCTCTCGCGCCCTCATCCTTGCACTGGGCGCCGCTCGCTTGGCGGGCCCGAGCCAACAATTTGCCTGGGGACTCTGCAGTCGCGCATCTAGGTGAGGTGCCGAATTCAATTTCGCCAGCGGCCGTCTCTGAGTGCCTGGGCCGTTGGCACCGGCCACGGCCGAGGGCCAAGGGCCCGTCTGTGTCTGTGCCAGGCACGAGCAGGTGCGGGACGCTGGAGACGCCATCTCCCGAGCGCCGGCTGTTGGCTGCACAACACAAGCGATGGCGATTTGTTGAGGATGCTGGGCGGCGGCTGTGTGCAGAGCTCGCCTGTGCGGTGCATGCGCATGTTGGCCACATGACCAACGCACATCACGGCGGATGGCCCTTTGTCCAGCGCCGTGCCGGTCGGGCAGTCGAGTGCGATGCCAACGACAGCCGACTCGTATCGGCAATCCACGGGAGCAGGGATCTAGGGAGGAGTCTAACGTGTGTCACAGGAGCCAGCCGGCAGGAGAAAGACCTTGGCTGTGCGAAGGCACGTACGTACAGTACGGACGGGCGTCGCCCCCGTAACCAACCTTGTCGCCCTCGGGACGGAAGCGGGCAGACGCTGCCACCACACGGGACGGGCCCGCTGGCAGCCGCCTTCGGGGAAGCCGCATCAGGCAGTCACGATTGAACAACAGGTCGAGCTGGGCGCGGGTCCTCGCCGCTCGCCCCGGGCTTGGTCGTGCGGCTCTGCTCTGCTCCGACGTCATTGACGCAGCGCGGTGCATCGCGACACTGCGCAAGACGGGGGAAACGGGCATCGACCCATGCTGTGCATTCGCACGCTTCCCACGCACTACGTACCGACAGACGGGGCCCCCGGCCGACTGCTGCAACACGCTTGAGCGTGCATACAAGTCGGGGCTAGTCGCAAGGCACTCACTCACTGCACCTACAGCGGCCGTCGGCAGTGCCAGGCAGGAAGGTTGGGCACCGGCCAGCCACCGGCGCCCTGGTCCTCCAAACGGTAGGCAAGGTACCTCCCTACCTCTAGGACTTACGATAAGGTACCTAGTAGTGCACTCGCCAGGCCAAGGCAGGGCACATACTGCTTGTCGCACACGCCGGGAGCCACCTCGCTGGGGTTGCCCGCCCACCAGACCTGTCGACTTACCTAAGGTCTGGTGCCCCTCACGGCCAAAGAGAGGCTAGCTCGGCCGCTGGCCGCTGGGTCGGCACGCACTGGGAACGGCACGACGCCGGGCTATCCGTCCGCCTCGTCGACCTTACATTCCCGCCCGCCGGGCTCCCATGCCTTTGCCCCCCCTCCTGCCCGAAGCACCACCCACCCCCTGCCGGAGCGGCCTCGTTTTGGCGGCAACCCAAACCGCAGCACAACGCAGCGCAGCACACACGGCGCACCTGACCACCGCCTAACCCACCAAACCTCGCCGTCGTCGCCGTCGCTGGAGAACCCCTCCCCCTGGTCCCTTCGGCGGCACCGCCAGCATCATCACCAACTGCTAAACTGCAGCGTGCGTGTGTGCTTTGCGCTCGCCCGTCTCGCCGTGCGCCCCTCCTTGCACCCGAGGTCCCCGGATCAGCAGGCGCACGTCGTTTGCTCTATTCCCCCTCCCTCGTCCCGGCCGCCAACGGGCTGACGGATTGCGAAGGGGCAGCAGCACCCGTACGAGTGCCCCGACCCGCTCATCTCACCTTGCCGCTCTGCAGCCCAGTGTCCGGGAGCCGTCGTGACACGGCTGCTGAATCTCAACTCACGAGCCCTCTGAGCGTGCACGGCAGGGCTGCTGCGGTCGGACGCACAAAGCCGCCCGCTGCAACGGGTATTACCTGCCAGTGGAGGCGTTGGGTGCGCCTCCGCGTCCGCGCAGGTACCATCCTTTTTTTACCTCTGGTGCAGGCACGGAGGGAGCACGAGAACTCGGTCCTCACCTCCGCTTCGTCTCTGCCCCAGTTGCCAGTGGGTGCACTTGGCTGGTGACCGTGGGTGGTGAGGTCCCGCTGGGCGCACCCCCTGACCACAGGCCCCCGGGCGCTATCGTAGCCCGCTGGGAAAAAGTGGCCACCGCCCGCCCGTCTGGGCAGCCCACCGCACCTGCTGCAGCCCAGCCCGGCCCAGCCCAGCCCAGCGCCGGCGCCAGCGCCGGCACCAGCACCTCGGCGCCGCCAGCAGCCTTCCCTGGCCTTAGGCAGGGTCGGGTCACTAACAGCCCGCCCGCGCACCCACCCGCCACGACCAGGACCAGGCAAGGGAAAAGTACAATTGACTGGCGCACCCCCCCCTGGAGGTGCGGGTACATTATTTGTACCCTGGCCGTCGCCTGCACCACACACGCCTCTGGCCCAGCTCAACTCAACTCCTTCCTTTCCTCTTCCACCGCATCTCCTCCTCCTCCCCTCCTCACCCTCCTCCACCACCACCACCCAAAAAATCAGACGTGACGCGGGCAACGGCCCTCTGGCGGACAGCAACACCGGCTCGCCTCGCCTCGACTCATCGCCACCGCTCCGTGCGCGCGCCGTTGGAGCCCTCGCCGTTTCGCTTTATCCTCCGCACACGGTTGGCCGGCAGTTCCCCCCGCGACCGCCGCATTCGGGCGCCGTCTCCCTGCCGGCTTACTTCGCCTCGGCCTGTCGCGCCGCTGCCCTCGCCTGCACTCACGGAAGCATCGCGCATGCTCTCTCGACGACGACGACACGCACTGCGCCCTTTGATACAATTTCCTTCGTCCGCCCCTCCGACGCCCCAAGCACCGCAGCACTTGCGCCGACACCGCCGGCCCCGGCCCCGACCCTGCCGTCGACGCCAGTTCGTCCGATCCACCCGCCGCGCCTCTGCCACCCCAGCATCCTTCTCCAGCATTGGCAGCACCGCGCTTGGTTGCAAGTCTGTCTAGCGGGCCGCCCGGCTAGAGGCTCCTCGCGCAACTCCATCTGGACGGGCAGAGCATGGCAGAAGACCGCCTTCGCCACGACCGTACTCAGCACAATCACCCCGAGGACAAGCAAGCAGCTCCAGCCCGATTCCCCCCGGGACCACCGCCACCTCCCACGGACGACCATCAGCAGGGCCGGCGCTCCGTCGAGGGCCCGAGATCCGCCATGGCCGCAACTGTCACCCTCCCATCCATTCACGAGGCTCGCGGCGCCGCGGGTTACGGCCCTCAAGGACCGCCGCCGCCGCCGCCTCCTCCCGGGGCGCGTGCCTACTCGCATGACCCTCGCTATGCCTCGCCCAACGCTGTCAACGGCTACCCGCCACCGTCCGCGGGCCAGCAGCCTCCTCCATCGACCTATCTGCCGCCGTTGCAGACGAATCCAGCCGACCCGCGCTCGCCGGCCTACCCCCCGGACCAACGAGGCGGCTACTACGATGACCGACGGCCCCCGCCGGGCCAGTATCCCGACCCTCACCAGGCGCAGCAGTACGCGGCAGAGGGCTACTACTATCGTGGGCCCCCTGGAGTCGTGCCCCCCAACGGCTATCCCCGACCACCGCAGGGACCGTACCAGGAGTATGCGCCGCAGCCAGGCGGCGCCCCTGGCATGGCGCAGGCTGCTCCGAGACAGCGGACCTCGATCGCCTGCAGATACTGCCGCAAGAGAAAGGTTTGTTGGCGCCACGCCGAGTGTGCGATTCTCGACCCAAGCAGGAAGCAGTGCAGCTGACCAGAACTTCTAGATCCGTTGCAGCGGCTACCAGAATACGCCGGGTGGCAAGTGTCAAAACTGCGCCCGCATGAACCAGGAATGCATCTTCCAGCCGGTCTCATCCTCGAGCTCGACCGCCTTCATCCCGGTGTCCGCAGTGCCTGGCGGAGTGCCCCCCGGAACCCAACTGTTCGGCGCGTACGGCCAGCCGTTGGCTCCCAGCTCCGTGCCCGTCGCGCACCCCTACCCGCCTCCCCATCACGGGGGGCCTCCACCCGGGCCGGCGCCTCCCAACTACTACTCGCAGCACCCAGCGCCGCCGCCGCATCCGTCGCAGCCTACGCAGTCGCCCACCGAATCCTTTTCCTCGTACGGGGACGATGCGCAGGTGGCTGGCAGGCGCCGCCGTCGCACCCCCGAGGAACGCGAAGAAGGCTACCGGCTGCCTCCCCCTCGAAGCGGCGCCGCGGACGAGGAGGCTCGCCGCCGATCGCCTGCCGAGTTCTCCAACAACAGCAGCCCCGGAAACCTCGCGCACCTCCCGTACCAAGGCGCCCGGCAGAGCCCTCGCAACGCTGCCGCCCTGCCACAACCCCCGGGACAAGGCGGGCGCTCACCCGGAGCTGCCAACGGATCAAGCGGCGCATCGACTCCCGCGCGACAGCAGCAGGCGTCTTCCGGGCAGTCGCAGAACTCGACGTCCGTCATGAGCCTGAGCAACCTGGTGGACAAGAGCGACATCGACAGAGGCATGATCGACCGGCTCAACAGGCCGCGCGATTCGAAAGGAGCCAACGGATCCCGTTAAGAGATCCAGAAAGGCGTCGCCGTGCGCAGGTTGCCCGTCGAGCGGGGTCGCAGCACGCCTTCGCAACCCGAAGACGAAAAGATGACCAAGCACAACAAAGAAGTGAAAAAAAACAAAACAAAAAGAAGTTGACTCTGCCGGACAGTTGGTCACTTTTAAGCTACGCGCGCACGTTTCTTGTGGTACATCGGAAGACCCTCAACACGATTCCGGCTTCTCGTTGACGAGAACTCACGGCGGATTTCGGCGAGCAGAACCTCCGGAGGTCTTTTGGGCGATACAGGACGGCGATACCAAAGTTTAGAACAACCATCCCGTTTGGCAACAAACACCCTTGCTTTTGGGCGCACGTCGTTTGCGTTTTACACCCCGTCCTTGTTTCGGCTGTTTTGCCCCAGCTCCGATCCCCGTTTTACCCTTACTTGCCTCTTGTCCCCCCCTTCCCCCTTCTGTTTTCTACTAGGACCGGGAGAGCGTCCGTTAATCTCGCCAATGCCTGGGACGACCATGGCAGCCGATGATGACGGGACTGGTCATCCCGCGCTAGTTGTAATGGCACGATCAATGTTTATGTCTCTTTTATATTCATGTCATCAGAAAAGACGGACCTGCCTCACGGCACCAAACGTTTTGATTTTCTTGTTCATCTTTATTGGACTTCAAACTCTCGCTTTCTTATTTTTTTTTTGCGCTGGCTTACGGGTGGGAGGTATATGGGGCGCTTTGGCGGAATGGCAGTTGGGCGGCAGCCTGTTTCCCTGGCTCGGCCCGTCCTATGGCGCGGAGCTGTCCGGACTCGACAGATGGGGCGGTGCGGCGCGTGTTCAGGCTGCCGGCAATGTATGTACATGGCTCACGTGGTCGCCACGGATGAGAAGGGATAGGACGGGATGGGATGGGTGGTGGCATTGTGCGTGCCCCCGAGGGATCGCGTCGCATCGAGTGAAAGTGTTAGCAATACCTACAAGCTGCAGTTCTGCAGTATGTTTGTCTCAGGCCGTTGTGTCACGAGCCACCTTTCCTCGACTTCTTTTTTTGGGCCTCCTTTCCCTCCTATTCACACGGCCATTGTCCCCTCCTCTGGCAGCCGCCGTGTTGTATTTGGGTTGGCGAACCACGGAGCAAGGACGTTGTCCGTACTAACTAACGCCATGATCGTGGTTCGAGCCCTTTCCCCCGGCGGGGCGGGCTCTCAGGGGTTCTCTGGCCCGTCGACCGAGCCCCGCCGTTGGTGCGCCAGTTGGAAGCAATGAAGCGTCCGCTGGATGATTCCCGTGCGTCCGTGGGCTACTTCCGCGACGGTTGGAAGACCAACCAACGACGTTTTGCGTGGTCAGAGCGGCGGGTGGGCGGGCGCGCGCGCGCAAAACACAACCCAAAGCAACGCAACGCAACGCAACAAGGAGAAACAGCAACGACCTGCTGCGACTGGCTGGCCATACGGGAGCACGTCCGGCGGAAGGGGGGGGAGGGGGGGAGCCAGCAAGTCCATGCGGGAAGGCGGCGGCTTCGGTACGAAACGGCGGGTGGGGAGGGAGGCTTCCAAGGTTGGTTCGTTCGTTCGTTCGTTGGCGGCACGGGAAACCTGTCTGGAAGGGCAATGGATTGATGACTCGCTGGCTGGTGGACGACAGCGGGCGGCGGGCCTGAGCCACACTTGGCGGACGGGGTCCCACGACAGTTTGTGTGTGTGCGTGTGGCGACTCTGACGAGGCTTTTGGCCGCTGGACTGACGGGACCGCTGGCCCCAACATTACGACACGACACGCGACAGGACACGACACGATACGACGCGACGCAATCTGTCACGGCGGTGGCGGCTTTGGCGCGCGGCTCTCGGGTCCCGAGCCGCGAGCGACGGGCCTGTCCTCCCGACCGGACCACGGGCCGTGGGGCAGCGATGCCTCTCCCAGAGCGAGCGAAGACCCAACGACCACTGACGAAACCCTAGCGACAGACAGCCAGACAGACAGACAAGACGTTGCGAACCAAGGGGTCCTTTTCTTGGGAGTCTCCCTCACCCCCCCGCTCCCGCCACGTTGCGGCACGGTACTACGGCAAAAAGGACAGGGCGAGCGAAGCCGTCAGCGTGGGTTGACAGGGGGTTGATGGGGGCTTGCCCTCCCTCCCCCCAAGTGCGGCCACATGCAGGCGGCATACTACGTACCCAGCACCATGGAATCGGGGGGGAGGGGGCTAGGCAAGACGGTGTGGTCGCTGGTGCTCTCTGAATGCACTACGATTGCGGTCCACCACCATGGTACACACCTCACGCAAGGAACACCGCCCAACCGGTGACGGCCGGCGCGCGTCAATGGTCTGGATTGCGCCCGGTGGATTGGGATTAACTCACAAGGGAATCAGAGAAAAACCCTCTAGGGCCCTCGATGGATTGGGCGGAACAGGGTTGGATTTTGAAAAAGGCGGAGGCGGCGATGACCGCCCCTACGAGGCCAATCACACTGACGGGATGGCAGTCGGACAGGGAAGAGGTCACCTTGGGTCCCCCCCATGGTCCCCTACCTACCCATGGGGCGGAGCCGTGTCCGGCCCAGGGTTGGTTTGTGAATCCAGGCCTGCCAGCCCTCACTCGCTCGGGACTCCTCCGTGGCAGCCAGGCCGACGGACGGGGTTTCCCGCCGTTCGGCGAGCGTGGGCGGCATCAGGAGGGGGGAGAGCCTAGGGGACGCGGCTTGGACCCCGGAGAAGGAGTCCTCTTTGCTCGGGGGGGGAGAGAGAGAGAGAGAGAGAGAGTAAGAGAGGGGCGCACTAACAAGTCGTTACTCGTTACGCCTACGCCTACGCCTACGCCGCCACCGCCGCCAACGGCTCCTACGTGCTACGGCACTACGGTACTACGGTACTCCAGCGGCGGGCGGTGGGCGGGCGGGCGGACGTCTCGCGACGGGCCTTGCGCGGTTTCCGTTTTTTGCCTTTGCCCTTGGCGGCCCTCCCGGCCTCCCGTTGGGGGGGAAGGGAAGGGAAGAGGGGGACCGCCCGGCTGGATGGGCGAGCCCGCGAAGGGAAGAGCCCACTTGGCGGCGACGGCGGCGGCGGCGGCGACGGACGGGCGGGCGGCACCCTGGATGCTGCTGGTGCTGCTGAGGGTTAGTGGAAGTGGGAGGGAGGGAGGGATACTTTTCTGGAGAGCGAAACGGGGGGAGTGAGTGAGTGAGTGGGTGAGGATGGGTGGGATGGGGATGGGATGCTTGTCTGCTGGGCGAGACGGCTGCGTTTTTGCGTTTCCTTGCGGCTCTGCCCATGCGTGGGCATCATCTGTGGCCCATGGCCGGCTGTGTCTCTGGTAGTCTACAGGACAGGAGCGCCCCGAGAAGAGAGGGGCACGAGGGGCACGGGAGCACGACGACTTCGTGTGTCTGCTCCCAAACCTGACCGTACGCTCCCGGCATGTCACCTACGTATGTACCGCCGCCGCCCACATCTCCCCGAAGTGGGCGGGCGCGCATGCGCGCCGTTGTGGGATGAGTCCCGCCGTTTTTTCCCCCTCTCCCCTCGAGAGAGCGGAAGGAAACGTGTGTTAGAGGGACGTTGGAGGCGGCAAGGTTTTGGGGCTTGGATGGGGAGGGGGACNAGGGGGGCGGCTTTTTGGTTCTTGAAAAGGAGGGGGGGTGTCTGGGAAGTGTGTCCAGCTGACGCCGGATAGAGAGTGTGTGCGCTCGTTTTCTCTCTCTCTCCCCTTCTGTGAATGAGTGAGTGAGTGAGTGAGTGAGTGCCCTTGTGCGGTGCGGGTACGTCAAGAGTTGGGAATGCGTAGGGCACCGTGCTGGGAAACTCTTTCTAGCCCCAGGTGACTGACGCCCCAAGAGCCGGGCCGTCCGTCCGTCCGTCCCTGGCGTATGAAGTTCCCTTCCCCACGATGTGTATGTGTGTGTGTGTGCGTGGAGGCGGCCGAGCGTGGTGTTTGACGGCGCGCATGCGACAGGCGGGCTTGCCACTGGAATGCACGATGATGCAGGAACGCGGGGGAGGGGGGGCCAGCAAGCCGAGATCTGGCACGCAACGGTTTTTTGTGTCTCGGAGCACGGAAATGATGAATGATCGGGGGCAAAGGGGGCAGGCATCACAAGGGACCACAAGGGCCCAAGGGTGAGACAATTCCAAAAGACTTGGCCCAACTCCCTGGGACGGGCGAGACAGATGGGAGGGTGGGCGGTCGCATTTTCAGGCCCCCCCCTCCTCCTCCCAACCCATCCCATCCCTCATCCCCTTCCCCCCCTTTGTGCATGGAGTGAGGCACGCGGGGGATTTGCGTGGTTCCTGCAGCGTGCATAAGCGTCCAGAGGGGCGGTACAGGACGTGAATGGACGAGCTGTCTGTCTTCGGTGAGCGGTGTGTCTGTGTGTGCCGTGCCAGTCTTGCCACCATTTGTGTATGAGTGTGTGCGGCGAGAGTTGAGAGGACCGGAGGCTGAGGAACCTGTGACAACGTGTTCGGCGTTTGTGTCTGACTGACACGATTCAACAATGATGAAAGTTGGCGGCAAAACAAGAGTTCACATGGCATATGTTTGATTAGTAGCTGACATGTCTTCCTGGGCAGGCTTATAGGGACCGCATAGGCTACTACTGAATTTTTGATCTTGCGAGATGCTTTTGAATACTGTCCGGTGAGGAATCAAGTATCGTATGAATGGGGGGGCGTTGCTGTGGCCTGGCTGCTGGGCATGACGCAGGGCAAGCCGGCACCTGTCCGCCACATCCGGGAGTGACGGCGTCCCTCACACATGCCTCTGCTACTAACATACTACTTTGTACGCGTGACCCTCGGTGACGGCAGGTGTGTGTGTGTGTGTCTATGTGTGTGTGTCAATGCAAGGTGGCCGCGTGGTCGGTGAGTCAAGGAGCCAACCTCACGGTCGCATACACACATCCATCCATCCATCCATGCATTCCCATGTGGGAGGGGAGAGTAGAGTGGTCCGGGGAAGAGGAGCAAAACAAACAGGGCATGTGGAAGAGGTGGGCACAAGGGCTATGACC